GGCCACTCTTGTCCATTCCAGGCCATTCCCAGTAATCATTCCAGGCCATTCCCAGTAATCATTCCAGGCTCTTCCCAGCCATTCCCAGCCAAGCCCACCCATGATTCCTTCCCATCCCTGTTATTCCAGGCCCTTCCCAGCCCGTCTCATCCATTCCAGGCCATTCCCAGTAATTATTCCAGGCTCTTCCCAGCCATTCCCAGCCATGATTCCTTCCCATCCCCGTTATTCCAGGCCCTTCTCAGCCACTCTTGTCCATTCCCGGCCGTTCCCAGTAATTATTCCAGGCTCTTCCCAGCCGTCCCCACCCATGATTCCTTCCCATCCCTGTTATTCCAAGCCCTTCCCAGCCTGTCTCAGTCATTCCAGGCCATTCCCAGTAATTATTCCGGGCTCTTCCCACCCATTCCCANTTCCCAGTAATTATTCCGGGCTCTTCCCACCCATTCCCACCCATCATTCCTTTCCATCTCCACTATTCCAGGCCCTTCCCAGCCTGTCTCATCCATTCCAGGCCGTTCCCAGTAATTATTCCAGGCCCTTCCCAGCCTGTCTCGTCTATTCCAAGCCGTTATTCCCAGCCCTTCCCGGTCCTTCCCAGCCCGTCTCATCCATTCCTGGCTGTTATTCCCGGTCCTTCCCAGCCAGTCTCAGCCATTCCAAGCCATTCCTGGCTGTTATTCCCAGTCCTTCCCAGCCCATCTCATCCATTCCTGGCTGTTATTCCCGGTCCTTCCCAGCCAGCCTCAGCCATTCCAGGCCATTCCTGGCCGTTATTCCCAGCCCTTCCTGGTCCTTCCCAGCCCGTCTCAGTCATTCCAGGCCGTTCCCAGTAATTATTCCGGGCTCTTCCCACCCATTCCCACCCATGATTCCTTCCCATCCCTGTTATTCCAGGCCCTTCCCGGCCCGTCTCAGTCATTCCAGGCCGTTTCCAGTAAATATTCCAGGCTCTTCCCAGCCATTCCCAGCCAACCCCACCCATGATTCCTTCCCATCCCCGTTATTCCAGGCCCTTCCCAGCCAGTCTTGTCCATTCCAGGCCATTCCCAGTAATTATTCCGGGCTCTTCCCACCCGTCCCCACCCATGATTCCTTCTCATCCCTGTTATTCCAAGCCCTTCCCAGCCACTCTTGTCCATTCCAGGCCATTCCCAGTAATTATTCCGGGCTCTTCCCAGCCAACCCCACCCATCATTCCTTCCCATCCTTGTTATTCCAGGCTCTTCCCAGCCCATCTCATCCATTCCTGGCTGTTATTCCCAGCCCTTCCCGGTCCTTCCCAGCCCATCTCATCCATTCCTGGCTGTTATTCCTGGTCCTTCCCAGCCAGTCTCAGCCATTCCAGGCCATTCCAAGGTTATTCCCGGCCCTTCCCAGCCCATCTCATCCATTCCTGGCTGTTATTCCCGGTCCTTCCCAGCCAGCCTCAGCCGTTCCAGGCCATTCCTGGCNGACAATCCGGATCTGGGAACCACATGGGATGATCCAGGAGGATCCGGGACTGACCCGGGACAATCCGGATCTGGGAACCACATGGGATGATCCAGGAGGATCCAGGACCGACCCGGGACAATCCGGATCTGGGACCACCTGGGATGAGCCAGGAAAACCCGGGAAGGGCCCAGAGGGACCATCCAGGACAATCTGGATCCGGGAACCACCCGGGATGATCCAGGAGGATCCGGGACCAACCCGGGACAATCCGGATCTGGGAACCATGTGGGATGATCCAGGACCAACCTGGGACAATCCGGATCCGGGAACCACCTGGGATTATCCAGAAGGATCCAGGACCAACCTGGGACAATCTGGATCTGGGAACCACCCGGGATGATCCAGGAGGATCCGGGACCAACCCGGGACAATCCGGATCTGGGACCACGTGGGATGAGCCAGGAAAACCCGGGAAGGGCCCGGAGGGACCATCCAGGACAATCTGGATCCGGGAACCACCCGGGATGATCCAGGAGGATCCAGGACCGACCTGGGACAATCCGGATCTGGGACCATGTGGGATGAGCCAGGAAAACCCGGGAAGGGCCCGGAAGGACCATCCGGGACAGTCTGGATCTGGGAACCACCCGGGATGATCCAGGAGGATCCGGGACCAACCCGGGACAATCCGGATCTGGGACCACGTGGGATTATCCAGAAGGATCCGGGACCAACCCGGGACAATCCGGATCTGGGAACCACCCAGGATGATCCAGGAGGATCCGGGACCAACCCGAAACAATCCGGATCTGGGAACCACCCGGGATGATCCAGGAGGATCCGGGACCGACCCAGGACAATCCGGATCTGGGAACCACCCGGGATGATCCAGGAGGATCCGGCACCAACCCAGGACAATCCGGATCTGGGAACGACGTGGGATGATCCGGGACCGACCCGGGACAATCCGGATCTGGGAACCACCCGGGATGATCCAGGAGGATCCAGGGCTGACCCAGGACAATCCGGATCCAGGAACCACCCGGGATGAGCCGGGAAAACCCTGGAAGGGCCTGGAAGGACCATCCAGGATGATCCGGATCTGGGAACTACCTGGGATGATCCGGGACCGACCCGGGATAATCTGGATGTGGGAACCACGTGGGATGAGCCGGGAAAACCCGGGAAGGGCCCGGAGGGACCATCCAGGACGATCCGGGGGCTCCGTCGGAGCCGCTTCCGGCATAAATACGGACGAGGTCGGACGCGGTTTTTGGGGGGTTTTTTGGGATTTGGGGAATTCCGGCGTCGCTGCCGTCGGAGCTACGAGGGGGGGGGGTTTGGGGGTC